CGCAATGCGACAGCACGATTAGCATAAACTGAACCTTCAACGCTCATTTCACCCTTTGTCGTTCAGTCTCTGTAGAATGCTCTTTTTAGGAGACGCTGCTGATGCCCATTAGCTTTCCTGTTCTTTGCAGTTTCTTTATCAGACAGCTACCGATCATTCTTTTAACGGCACTGAAGGACCTTAATTTTACTCCCGCCTCTTCCAAATGTCGGTTATAGACCATCAAAGACCACAATCGGCCAGCAGACGAAACAAGCTCCATTTCTTCACGCTGCGCTCTTCGAAGAATTCTAGGAGCTCCGAGCGTCCTTCTATTTTTAACGTGTTCCCCGACACCGAAACTGAGCTCTCATTGGTGGACTTGAACAAAAGTAATGATGCTGACGGTCGCTGTCTGCGCATATTTTGTGAAAAGATAAAGGAAGGAACATGCTTTAAAACTATATGTATCAAGGACACAACCACTGTTGGCGAATGTATCGATGACCTGACCCACTTGATTTTTGAGCCTTCCGAAATTCATAAGTTAATGAACCCAGAAAGCTTAGTCATGTTTGAAGCAGTCGGCAGGATTAAACAAAACCCAGGAACGGCCAGTCAGAGCAGTGCTGGGGAGCTGCTTGTGAATACTGAATTCACGGAGGTCAGCTCACACCCTTTGGTCCCTAACCAACGTGTAATGGATGTCTTCTCCCTTATGAAACCTGCTTCTGGTCTGTCTAGGAGGCTGGAACTGAGACCAAAACAGCCGCCAGCACGTACTCCGACTGCCATAAAGTCCGATAGACTATCCCCTGAAACGACCTACTTTGGTCAGGACGGAATCACTCCATTACCCCATTCCAATGGTGCTGACATGTCCCCGGATATTCACCTACTGCGCAATAAGTATTTTCCAACAAAGCTAGCCAACCAGCCTCACTTATTACTTCTCAAGGGCAGTCGCCCGGAGAGGGATTCTCTGATGCACGACTTAAGCCCCCTCTTTAACGGTTCCAAGGTTAAGCTCTCTATCGGCCTGTCATCCAAGGACGATATTCGACTCTATCTTCCGCCTGGTTCAAACAGAAACAAGTCGGGCACTGGCACTGCTTCGCCTGTCAGTTTGTGTATCCGCGAGGTGGGGACGAGGAAGAGTCTCTGCCTCGTTATTCCAACTCAGTGGAATTTACCACAATGTGGAGATGTTATAACCGTTTTTCACAATTGGTTTGATGTGAGCAGGGAGACTCCAGTGGAGCGTTACCTACAGCCTGGTGATATTCTTCGGCTGGAGGCCAGACAACTTGCTTATATTTTCCTCTTTAAGGATCCGTCCTCGATCCCCGAGCATGAACTGAAGTTGGGTTTCCTCTCACTCCCACCGACGAGTTCTGTTTCTGAATCGCTGATAGGTACGCCCAGCAGTAATCGGTCAGCCCTGCGGACAGCTCGAATTTCCGCCAGCCGGGACGTCA